AAAAAAAAAAAAAAATCAAACCTCTCATTTCAATCCAGTGATTTAAAACTGATGAAGTAATTTTCCACTTGCTACAATTGGCCCTGATTAAAGCCTTTACATGTCAAGGAAGATACTCTTTAAAATTGCCATATGTGTGTGTGTGTGTGTGTCTGTGTGTGTAATATATATATTTACACACACACACACACACACATATGGCAATTTTAAAGAGTATCTTCCTTGACATGTAAAGGCTTTAATCAGGGCCAATTGTAGCAAGTGGAAAATTACTTCATCAGTTTTAAATCACTGGATTGAAATGAGAGGTTTGATTTTTTTTTTTTTTAAAGCCAGAATGATTTCAAGCAGGCATTTAATGATAATTGCATTTTCGTAGTAATGTCTGGTCCTGCATACTGTGCTTTTATATTCTTCTAGGATAATTGTGGAGGAATTGTAGCTTTCTTTTGTATTTTTTTCCATAAAATAATGCCGAATATACGGTTGACCCTAAAACCAGCAGCCCAGCTAATTTTGACCCAAAACCTAAGAATAGAAAATATACTTCAGAAGTGATTGATTGCTACCTAAGGTACGTAAAGCAGATATTTTGATGCTAATAATTTTACAAATGAATAGACTTGAATGTATTTAAAAGCTTGAAGTTTTTGGCCTGCAAGATGGACTAATGAGATTATATATATTATATATATATAATTCCATTTATATATATTTCCCCATATATATAAATGTAAAGGCCTTTTCATTTTTTTTCCTTTGTAGTAATTCGTGGAAAGCTTGTGGTTTCTGAGCAAAGATGAGCATGCTGTGACCCACTCTACACAGGACATTGCTTTCAGAATGTGTGAGGGGCTTTTTAAGAACTTGTCAGAGTATCGTACTTTTATTTCTAGACCACAACAAAAAGATTCTTACAAAACTAAACATTCAAAAGCATGCGGGAATGACCTCGGTTTATCATTCTTTCATTTTAATTGATGCTTCATATTTTAAACCTCTCTTTTACAGTTGAATATCATTAATAATGTCACTTGTTGACTGGATTTATTATACTTAAATGAAGTGACAATATAAACATATTTTAGGTCCTTTAATATCCTCACTCTCAGGCTTATCCGGTTAAAACAAACTTGAATTCCAGACATGGTGAGAGCTGATTTCGGTATGTGCCAAGTCAAGTGTAGGAAACAGAATTTTAATTCATAACCCAGAATGTATTTTTTCTGCGTTGCCTTCTGCCTCTTAACAATGTGTATTGTGTTCTCAAATGGAAAAAAAAGTGTTCAGTTTTGTTTATATTGGTTGCCCTATTTTTTCCCCACAGACACTGTATTTTTGTCAGAGCAAAGACTTCATCTCCTACTTCATTATGTTAATGAATTTTCAGACAGAGTATGTCTTTTATATAGCAACAACTGATTTCTTAAATTTGTCAGCTACCAGTTTTAAATCAACGATACAGCTTTTGCTCGGTCAGTTAGAGAAAGTGAAATTTGAAATTGAAACCCACGTGGTTCAGGCAATTAGGTCATCTGCTGTGTAGTACCATTCACTCGATGACTATTTTCCAGGTTTGTCATTTTTCTGTAAACGGCCTACATTTGGCCTTTCAAAGTCTCCGCTGTTCTTTGCTAAGTGAATGGCACTACAGGAAACCCTTCTTTATTTTTCCTGGAGCAGAGCACGTATGAACAAGAAAACCAAAGTGATACCGCCTAGAGGCTTGCTAGTTTACCATTTGCAGGCTTTCAATAAATATATGTATAGGAGAAGGATCTCTCTTTAC